TCTCTCTCTCTCTCTCTCTCTCTCTCTCTCTCTCTCTCTCTCTCTCTCTCTCTCTCTCTCTCTCTCTCGCGCGCGCGCGCGCGCGCCCCTGTTTGTGTGTGTAACGCACGCGTCCATGCCAATTCAATGTTCCGTTCGTATCGAGCAGTGAGATCGAACGCAAAAAAATCGATAAACGACGACGAAGACGATGAGAAACAAAGCAAAAAGCCCTGCTGCAGGGAAAAAGGTTAAAGCAGCTCTCTCTCTCTCTCTCTCTCTCTCCCTCGCGCGCGCGCGCTATTCAGGCGCTTCGTGATTATCACGCTCTCTCAACCTCTTCCCCTCAATCCGCGCGCTAAGTCCTCCTTCCTATGTTCCAATCTCTTCTTCCCATCCTTGTCCAGATCCCCCTCCACTACCTGCTTCCCTTTCCCTTTTTGCCTTGGCGTTCTTTCTCCTGCACTTCATCAACGCCCTGACATTCCCGCCCTGATTGGCTGACATTCCGAAATTCTCCGCCACTCGATCCCACATCCTGATCCTCACCCTTCCAATCTGCCCATCCACTTTGACGCTGGCAATCTCACCTTCCACCCTTCAGTCTGTCTACGTAACTCAGAGTCTCCTTGTGCTTCTTCCATCGCCGCATTCCCATCCTGACCGACCAATTCCCGACCGTCTCATCCTACTTATCCCGTACCCCGACCCTCCTTCTCATCCTTCTCCGGCTCCATTTCCTTTCTGGGCCGAGTGTGAATGGAACTCCTCCCCCAAGTCTTGACGCACAACACCGCTGAGAGAGAGGGAGAATATGCTGATATTGCATATGGACAAGAAAAAGCACGGGCACGAAAGACGCCAAGGGGGAAAAAAGAAAAGCATTGGCATTCTCTCTCAACGGATTTCGCAATTGATTTTTCTTAGTGCACCTTTTCTTTGTCCTCCATGATCCTTCGTAGAGCAGAAAACGGAGAACTGTACAGAGCGCTAGACATGCGTGTATTGCGCAAAGAGAGAGACGGGAGATGTCAGCGAGTAAGGTGAAGAGAGGCAACGATATCTCTTCACCTTCCTCGCTCACATCTCCACGGTCTCTTCCTGTGCGCAAGACACGCACGCGTAGCACTCTGTACAGTTCTCCGTTTTCCGCTTCGACGAAAGATGGAGGGAGACCAGAGAGAAGTCCATCGCCAAATCTGTTGAAGTTCGAACGATGCAGTAAAGATTGACATTGCCCCTCCGCAAAGACGACAAGCATAGATCGACCATCAACCAAGAAGAACAACCTCTCTCTCTCTCTCTCTCTCTCTCTCTCTCTCTCTCTCTCTCTCTCTCTCTCTCTCTCT